CAAGATGTGAGCCGGGGTTTCCAGATAGCGTGACGCGCCAGTAATCCACGACAACTGTTGCCGCCATCAGTTGCATCACTTTGTTGCATTCTATAGTGCTGTTGTGCGCTGCTGCTCGAGCAAAGGTATGTCACATCGCTGCGACATGGTGTTGATGCTAAAGCGAGCCAACGGTTGTAAGGAATAAATTCCATGAAGGTCCATTGACATTTAGTTTTATACAAGATGTCTGCAAACTTCTGAGTCAGGCAACTAGTACTGGAACTGGTGGCTTTTCGGATCAAACTTCTGTAGAAGCCGAGATCTCTTTGGTGAGTCGTCGGCACAGACGTGCAATATTGCCGCCTGGACGACCGGGGCGGGACTTGGATGCGCGCGTTTTGCTAGTGCTTTCAGGTGACGTGTCCCGAGCGAATGAAAACGTAAGACGCTTACGGTGCCGTGAGCTGCTCGTCTCTAACCACGGCATCGTCTGCTCACCTCGTACGTTCTGATGGATACTGGTCTGAGCAGCAATCATGTGATGACGAATTGAAAAGCAAGGACATAGTTTGAAATTATGTGAAGACGGTCCGAACGTTTACGATGGGTATCGAAGTAGCAGCTGTGATTGATTTAGGAAGCTTAAAACATTGGTAGTATCCTCTGCAGTAATAGGCTCATACGAAGCAAGAGAGTTTGCGGAAGAAGGATCAAGGCGTACGTCCATCGCAAATTTGCCATCACGCACTTGTTGGTCCCATCCGTTTGTTATTATTGGAAGAACTGTGGAAATGTGTGTCGGAAAGCCGAGTTAATTTCCGGATACCAACAACCACCGGCGTCAAGTGTCGCCAAAAGCCAACGGTATTGCTGGATCACCGTCAAACACTATCCGCTGATGAGATTTTTAGCGTCAAAGTAAGGTAGTTTAGAGAGAGTGCACATGCACAGTTGCTATCGAAATTTTTACGACGCATAAACGGTAACAGCCATGTTCGTGCGATCATCACGCTTTGCTCATAATGATCTTGATTCGGTTCTTCAGGTGAAGGTTAGTGCAGTGAATGGTGTCGTCCATATGCTATCTCACGACCGCTTGAGGAATTGTCTCGATCATCCATGGATCGACAATTCCAGAATGTTCACGGTGGGACCTCGTTCACCCACTTCGGTCGAGCATAGAGTATGTGATGTTCAAGTCTATCGGGTCTGTACTTAAGGTACTACTACTAAACACCACTGCAATTTTGTCAACAAACATTTGTATACCGAACTAGACGCACTCGAGCTTGGCTGCTACCATGTGCATTTCGCGCTAGCAATGCGTCTAACTTTGTCGATCGATCGTCATCGGTGTTATCGAACGATTCATTTACCGTATGTGTATCGCAGTTTTCAACGAGTCTGTCAATGTCCGACTGTAGGTCCTGCTAAACAAGACAAGAGTCGCAGCGAGCGTACCCTGTTGATGTGAGCAATAGATAGAATAGAAGCTTATATCGTCGTGGTGCTTTCTTAATGGCTATTGTGATCATCAGTGGCAGAAATTTCGTAGAGAGGTTAGCATGACAACGAATAGAGTAAACACTGTAGCAGTTGTATTAATGGTCGTCACCACAATGTTTGCTGGGTACCGACCGTCCTTAGAAGTATACAAACGGCGGTTCCATTGCCCTTGTCAGCCAACTACTCGATAAATCGGCTCGAAAATCATCCAAGTCTACGCTCGAAGCATGATGGGCAACCAAGCCATAAAGAATGGATGCAAATGATACCCATGATGTGAGTGTTGTGCACTGAAAAAACACTCATAGCAACGAGTGACAAGGTGGAACAAAGAAATACGCGAGTCCAATTAGCCCACATTGGTCCATATACATTAGCGCAAAAACTGCAACACCTAAACCAAAGACCTGCAAGGCCACGATGTTGTAGCTCGATGCGAACGGTCCCCGTACATTGAAGAGTGACCGAAGGTGACGTAGTAGATGCCGACATTACTCTGAATAAACGATGGCTTCGCACATCACTCGACTTTGCATGGTATCCCACAACATGCCCATGCATCAGCGCACTCCCGATTTGTTAGTCATTCTTTGCTGACAAAGCAATAAGTCTATGGGAGCTCCGGCATACAGCAAGTGACCAGTATGAGCGAGTACCTAGAAAATCAAATACTGAAAGCAAGTCCTCATCATGTGCGAAGACGAGCTCATCAGAGATGTTGTAGATCGTCGAAGGCATCAATACTTCGCCGTCCTAGCTCGGCTCTTATTGAACTGGACGAGTGCTGGGCGTACTGTACGGCGACACAGTCTTCTGTCCGTCAGCAGCAGTTTAGCCTAGTCCGTCAGTAGCTTATCACGCCTTAGTTTCCACCTGAAGCAAGGGCGTGATACTTACATGCAGATGTTCCTCCTCGGTACTTTTTGGTGGGCTCGGGTGCTCATGACAATACTACCGCTGAAGAAAGTATCACATACATTTGCATCGTGATGATGATATAGAAAGCTAGCAACGCACTCATTTAAAGATCACGCACAGCCGACGCAAAAGCCACTAACGATGAACTAGATTCAGATACATCCAGTGGACACATATAATGACCATTGGACACCGAATACCGCGTAGGGGTAGCACCTATTGATGTGTACCCTATTTACTGCCCCATAATAGCCGATGAGCAGCGCAATATCAGCTGAAGCGCTCCGATCATGAGACCGACTGTAGTACAACTGCACCAGTATGTTAAACGTTCATCTAACGGTTTCATCCCGAGTAGCTTTGGTGGTCTATCCATTCGTAACGTTGACGTTTTCTCGCGGTGAAAATGCAGGCGAGCAAAATGCTTCACCGTATGTGTATTCGCGCAAGGAATGGATAAAAATCTGACGAAGGAACCTCCATCCGGCGCACTCCTTGATAGCGCCTTGCTGGTATTGGGCGTCAGTGCTGGAGCGTAAGTCACATGCACAAGTAATTATTTGGTAGGACAAAGGATGTTTTGATGCTGTTGCTCGTATACTCTGATTGCTTTCGTACTGTATTTGGTGCAAGTAGCACTATTTCTTGTCACATTCGATACAAAAGGTGCGACACTCAGTGTGCATCTAAGTTTTGTCCTGCGTATGCCTGAAGACACAGGTTTTGCTTGTAGAGGACCACGACTTATGACGGTGATCTGCGTGTCGCGAAAAGGGCAACTTGAATGGACAGTAGTGGTGGTCTTCGAATCATCTTAATTGAATTGATCAGTTTATGAGGGATTAACATATTCATTCAGCAGTAGTTTGAGCTCGTAGTACCACTTTCCGTTTTGCAGCACAGAGAAGTGGTTAAGCTTTCGTAATATTGCTGCCATCAATCTCATGGTTGAGTCTGATGAGTTCATCGGCTACTGCAGTGGATAGAGCCGCATTAGTGTCTACAATTCATCATGATCTTTTTATTCGATGGTAATCATCCTGGAGACGACTATGAACCACTGAGATTGTCCAGCGATCTCAGTACTAGCTAGATATCTCTCAAGACGATGTAGACATGCCAAGATACTATAGAAGGAGCATAGCCATCATCATTGTGATCGTCAAGAACACGCGCTGTCAACGTTACACACCTGACAGGATCATTGCTGACGGTGTTTTTCGCAGCGCGTCGTGGCTTTGGCAAGACACACTTCAATGTCATCCACAGTACTGTTAAAGCTAACATTCGGTGATATACTTGGGCATGTCCCGTTTTAAGGTTCAACGACTGCACAGCGAGTCGACTACGCTTTATGCAGTAACGCAAAATTGTTGCCGTAGACATAGTGCGTTGTTCCGCTTAATGCATGGGGGTAGCAGTGGTTTGTTGGAGATGAAGACAAACGCGTTTGTTCTATCAACGGTCAGAATGACAACGATGTTCGTATTCCTGTTAGTTGACTCGATGTTGATGTACTTGACCTGTAGAGCACCCGTACATCGACGTGGACAAGAGTATGCTCGACAAGTTAAACTCGATGGATGTCTCCTGTTGACTACTCCATGATGAGACGCCAAGACCCAACGAAATAGCTGTGGGATGCACATACTTAGGAAGTAGGCGGTGTGATTTTGTTGATTTGAGACCTCATCGATTACTTCCAATTTGCTTTACAAGCTTATCAGCTCCTTACACTCGTGCAGTTTTTCGCTCTTCCGCTACGTCGTCGCTGATTATTTGGTGCGAGTAATACATGCTAGAAAGTCTATGATCGGTCATTGTTGTACTCTTACTCGACGAAGTTCGGGTATGGTCAAACCGCATAAGAACTGGAGTCATGATGTTTCATTCCAACATCCGTCTTCTTCCTTCGACTAAAAAACAACTAATATCGGTACCGAAAAGAGTCATTTGCTCCAGATTGTCCAGTGGATGATACTTTCAGTGCTTTTGTGGAGTAAGTGTGCATCCGAGTATGCTTTTCGAGCGGGTATCAGGCAACACACGAGACTTTTTAATGCACTCAAGAAGTTAAACAAGCTCAAGTCGAGCATGAGAGGACACGTAAGAGCTTCTCGACTTCTATAGCACGAAGAAAGAGTTTACGCGTTTATTGATCCATTCACGAGACAATATCGATGAAAATGAACAGTAAAAAAGCGCCGCGACAACTTTACGCATGCTGTTTGGTTTTGATACGATACGGTGTATTCTAACATCCAGAACTCAGTGCAGGAAGCCATTCACATCAAACGTTCCCGCAGCTCTCCGTAGCTCGAAGGTACACTATCGACTGCTCCATTTTATCGACTTCTTGTGCATGTTTCCCACTCAGGTCGCTCACGAGTTGTTTTGGGCGTCTCTGTCTTGGTCTCAGCGGATGTATCTGCCATCTTACACGCATGTCCCGCTTTCGGGGTCTGTGAGAACACGTCCCCATCAGCAAGTACTTCGTAAACCTTCCCGATAATTATAAACGTCTTCTCTACTCGATACGGCTCGATGTTGACAACCTTAGTTTTTACGAGGTCATCGCTTGATGCACACTATCGTCAGACTATTCACAATTTAGTTAGTCGGCTTTTCATACCCTATTGCGTACTGACCTGACGGAGAGAGTCTGCGACGTACTTCGCTGACGCTTGCACTCACCGTAGCAGCCGTTGTTGTCTGCATTTTGATCTCCATACTATCAAATGACGGGTAATATGGGATATTTGATGCAGAACTTCGGACACCATGGGCAAACAATTGGTTTCCTACCACGTTCTTAACGACAATCTCGATAATGCGCGACGCTAGCATCGGCTGTAAGCTTGATTCTTCCGCTGGCATGACAAAGCCTAACATTGTCATCACGTGTCCCGCCAGACTAGCAATGCTTGTCAAAAGCCTTGTCGCGATACACCGTAATGGAAGCAAGTAAAACTCTGCGTGCGAGCCGGACATGATGCCGGTGTCCATACCACTATAAACTTGTACCCACGAACAAAGCAGCGTCAGCGCCGCGACATAGCTCGTGCACATGTAAGCTTTATTCCGCCCCGTCTCACCGCATCTATTATCCACATGGAACCAGTTGAGCACTACTAAAGCTCAGTGGCTTTCTTACATCCACCACCTGTCTTACCGACGAGTAATCGCTTCATTTTATACCCGATCGTAATATCTCGCACCTGCGACAAATGAGACGCATGCTGTCTTTGTCTGCATTGAGAAGGAATTGCGGGGACTACGGACAAATGTGAGCAGATCTAACAGATGCGCGTGTCATTTTTGTGTCCGTTAAAAATGCAAAAGGAACTGACATGCTCGAACATTGGTTCGACTTGATTACCTCAGTCCTCGATGATGCATACGAAGGTCGCGTCAACCTTTTTTACGCAACTAGATCAACAAGCGTGTCCTTGTCAAGACCTAATTCACTCTTTGTTGATCAGGCACACCCGCGAGCTTGCTTTTCCCACACTATACATCACACGGTATACGTTGTACCGACACCAAACCGCATCGATGGGGGACCTATTTACATACAGTCATGCACTGGGCAACTCACACAGACGAATAACAGCTCAAGATACTCCGGGGGTGCTGATCCATTTTCCGTCGAACAGAACAGTGCCAGTTGTCTTTGTCGGCGTTGCATTGCACTCGCAGCTAGGCTTCTCCGAGCCCTTTTCGCACGTGAACTTGGGAGAGCCACAAAAGCTGCAGAGCCCAAAACCGCGTCTGGGCGGGCTTACTACAGACGGAACTGCTGACACCAACTTGCTGGTGCGCGCGTGATTGGCGGGAACCCATTCACCCTGAGAGGTTTCCATCAACTCAACGTCATCCCCAATACTTTCGTCAAGTGCTTGATTTCCGCAAACGCGAGCGCGCTTCTCAGTATCCACATCAAGGTGCTGCTGTCGCTGCTGCTGAAGGTACCGCTCTTTCGAGGACGATATATCGCTGTTCTGTGCATTACACACGGACAGATCGTCCCCGCCTACCTGGCGGTCGCGACGCAAATGCTCCAGCTTCTGTTGCTGTTGCTGAATCTGATTCAGTGCCGAAGTAGAGGGACCGCAACATGGCTTTCTAGACTCAACTCGGTGGACCAGAGGATTAGCTGTTTCATATCGCCGACGGACTTGCTCCTCCTGATACTGCGCCATCTCCTCAAAATCAGACTGCTGACGACGACGAGCCTGTTCCTCCTGATATCGAGCCAGCTCTTCAAACTCCTCCAGTTGCTGTCGCTGCTGAGGGTCGTACTTGTGTCGCTGATGCTGGATTTCGTTCTTCGACTCTCGTTTCCGGTCGATAAACGCATTAACCATTTCCTGCTCCTCAGATGATACCGTTCGTAATGGCTGCTGTTGTACTTGGCGCATTTTACATTCTCCTTCTTTCCCGTCATCATTGTCACTGGCATCTCGTGTATCGTTTCTTAACGACGAGACCGGTGATAGATCTGCTCGCGGCCGGAGCTGTTCCTGTTCATTAGCCTCGCTCGTACACTGTTGATCTTGCCACCAGCGCGTTATGTCCGTGGTGGTGCGAATTTCACCCAAACCATCGATCGTGTGCTCTTCGTAGTCCGACAAATCACTATCGCGGTAGTGCGACGACAGTTGGCTCCCGGCTTCAGCTGTTAGCCTAATGACAGGTTCTCCCTCTGAATCACTAAATTCCTGGGAACTGGTGTCCTCTGATGACACAAACGAAGGGTTCTGATCGAAACTCTGCTGTTGATCTGATTTCTCACTCTCGTGCTTGGAAATGCTCCGAGTCTGATGATGCTGAGGTACCACTTCCATTTCAGGTTCTCCCTTCTCTTCTTCGTGACCGAACAAACTTGATGGGGGTACACGACAGAGAAGCTGGTCCTTCTTGTGCTCGCGAGCTTTCGTCGTACGCTTACGTTGCTCTTGCAACATGTGTACACGCTGCTGCTGGTCCGGTTGCAAGCTAGAATCGCGCTCATACACCTGCATCTCGTCCCAGATCTTAACGCGTCGGTTTAGCTCGGTAGCCCGCAACTCGAGATCACGCTTCAATTCCTCTTGTTGCACGAAGAATGGCGCGGCACCATCACGCCGCTCCACCAACGACACCGAGTGTCGCTTCGCGTGCTGCAGCGGTAAGTCTAGCAAATTCGGATGTGTTTCACCCTCGACCTGCGACACTTCACCATTCTCGGATCCTCTGATTGGGCACGTGCCAGCATGTATTCCATGCGCTGAAATGTGCGACTGTTTCGCCGCAGCGGAACAAACCGTGCAGATACGTACCTTCGTACGGCCCACAACGGGTACATCGAGCCACCAATCGTCACTGCACCGTCGACAAACGCCCTCCCCGCACTTGCGACATACATACCGCTTTGATTTCGTGGATCGATTAGCAATCGCTGCCAGCGTGTCCTTCAGTCCCCCTGAGAGCGCCAACTCACGAAAGCACAAATTACAGCTGCCTTGCGTGCGCTTTTTATTGGGAATATCCAAATCACCCAGCAGCGGGCTGCTACTAAGTCGTTGCTGTTGCAAGAGCTTGTCCACTGTCGCGAGCGCCGCGACACGCTGCGCGAGAAACTTGGGTTGCAATAATTCCAACGCCATGCGTCCTTTCAAGTCCAGCTCGACCGTGTACGTGACGCTAAGCACACCAGGTTCATCCGTTTCCACAGCCGTGAGTCCCGATCGATAGATACTTGCTCGAACGATCCCGTACTTCTTCTCCAGTGGCGGACAGCACGGGAGCTTCAACGAATGGAGCGACCGGACCCACCCGCGTCGTCCTTTCGCATCGATAAACTCTTTTTGACACTCCAAGTAGCAGAAATCCCGTTTCCGGAAAAACCGCGACGGCGACGCCACGAGCGCCCACTTGACTCCAACGTAGCGTCGCGGCTGTTGCCCCGACGGAGCCACAAGTGTAAACAGCGTCGCGTGCTGGACTAGATCGGCATTAAACAGCAGCAAATGGTCGGCTGCTTCGCGACTCGAGTCGAGTTTAAACAGCAGCGCAAACTCCTCAATGCTCGCGTGCACGTGGTCACTGACAGCCCGGACGCGCGTGGCTTCGCGCGCCTTGTCCACGTCTCGAGCGGTGCCACGGAGGACGTGGATGCCGCTCGGGGCGCCGCCGAGGCGCTGGGCCGGACGCCAGAGCACTGCTCCGGGTTCGTCATGAGCTGCGAGCGTGTCTTTGATCAGCGCATTGGACGTCTCGTTCGCGACTCGGACGAGCTTCTTCTTCATCCGGGGCTCGAGCTCCGAGCGTGGAAAGAGGTCGTCGAGTGGCGGCAAGTGGATGGTGTCCGAGTGGGTCTGAAGTAACAAGGCAGACGACGCGGATGACGCGGGGGATGGACCTGGAGCACGGGGAACGGCGGGATCGGGAGCGCGCGGCATGACGCTGTGGCAGCGACGGGGACGCGCGTCCGTGTCGGCGGGTTTCGGCGTGGGGCGCGCGCTCGTGCTGCGCGTGCGCAGGCGGTCGAAGCGCATGAGGAGGAGGGACGACAAGTGCGAGTGGAGACGGCGTGAAGTAAGACAAAGGGGCGGGGGGGTGTCTGAAGTAGGCGATCGATGGACAGACACAGACGGGCAGACGGGGTTTGGCGGGACTGACTGGATCGAGGGGTTAGGGGGTGTCATTGTAGTTTGATAGCAAAAGCGCTTTGTTCGGCCGTGTTTCGATTGTGACAGAGCAGTGGGTGTTGGCTGAGTTACATGCGGTGATGGGTGAGGTGTACGGGGGATCGGGGACGCTTTCTTTTTTTTATCGATGCATACGGAGTTGAGAGAAAAAGTGCGGTTTGACGGACTGCTTTTTGTTATGGTGGCAATTGCAGCGCTTTATTCTGCGATCGATAGCGTCGCGATTGTCGACCGACGTCGCGTTTACTGGGTTACATTCCCTCGACATTGGACGTTGATGGAACGGAGAGGTGGGTGGTGCATAGTCTGTCGTAAGTACGACACCATCGCGTGCGTCTTGCTTGACCTTGATAACGTATGGAATGGCAGGAGGAAAAAAAGGCGCTGCTCGCGACGATCCAGCGACACGAGCAAGCGGCAGCAGCGCTTGCTAGACGCTTCAAGCTACTGCAACAGACGCTGCAGGCGCAGCAGGAAGTGCTGGATCAGTATGAGCACGCGCTCGGTGTCGCTAGAGCATGTAACGCGACGCGCCCTGCTGAAGTAGCAGCAGCTGCGGCCGCGATTGGCAATAGGGGGGTACGAAGTCCCCTCATTAAACGTACTGACGTTGCCAAATCGTCCTTAGGAGGTGAGTGCATGTCGACTATAAAGCAAAATGGAGACGAAAAATGCGACTTGACTACGACACCAGCAGCAGCTCCTGAGCCAATGATCTCGACGATAACAGAGGATGAAAGCACAGAAACGGAGAAAAAAGTGCTTTTTAAACCCCTTGCGAAGACCAGAAGTAACGCGAAGATCCGCGCGACGTGGGCAGAAGAAAAGCAAAAGAGACCTTACACGTCGATGTGGAAGCGCCGTCTCGAAAGACGGACAGCTAGAGGGCCACTGAAGAAGAAGGATCCTGTCCGGATAGAAGAGCACATTTCAGACGAAGCAAGGTGTTTTCCGTACATTGAAGTGGTACGCAACCGAGAAGAGAGGAAAGCATTACCAGGTCATGACTGCATTGAGTGCAAAAGGTACTACGATGCGCTTGGAGAGCTCGGGACTGTCGACGTGGCGGCTCAGAAACACAAATGTTCACGTCATCGTGCGAGGTTTGAACCGTACCAGACACCTGATGATTTCTGGAGGTTGAGTTTTCCCGACTCGGAGCCGCAATGATTCGGTTGCTGGTGGCAAGTTGGAATGGAACTTGTCGGGCATAGCTCAGGCTCGAGATTGTTTCGAAATAACCGAAGGACTGTCGTTGGGGGCAGCAGGCTTGCTGGATTTGATGACGGATGACAAGAGTCGATAGCTAAAGACTGTTGTTGTTCGATGAGGCAAAGACGAATGCTTGGTGACATCACGTCTTGACATCAAATAAAGACGGAATGAATGTGCACATCGCCTCGGAAGCTGTAGTGTTGTACGTTTCGGTTGTTGTTCGATGAAGTGTGCAAGGAAGAGGATACATTCGTGTTTTATAGCAACGTGCTCGTGTCGATTGCATGAACTGCTATGACTCGCCGTTCTCCGGGCGTCGTGAGATGTGAGTGTACGTTGGGCAGTTATCCACTTTCGCCGCAAGCTCACCTGATCGATGGTGATCAGTCGATTGGTGCATGGAGGGCGGTTGCCGTTCTCCGGGCGTCGTGGAATGTGAGCATACGTTGTGCAGTTGTCCACTTTCGCTGTGAGTTAATTGGGTCAACGGTGAGATTGGTCGGCTTGTTGACAGTACGAGACAGTATGGGCTCTGTACTTTGTGAGAGACGGCAAGTCTAAGTGTATTACAACAGACGTGTGTACTTTGTAAAGCGCAATGTTTGCATGGGACGAATAGTGATTGTACGACCGCGTATGATGAAGCATGAGCTAAGTCAAGTAGTTCGAGCGGCCCTGTTTGTTTCCTGGGTAAATGGCGTTGACAAGACGGAGGTATCGTCGAACTCAAGATGGGTGCAAGTCGTTTTGAGATTGACCTCGGCGGTAGACGAACGCGCAGGGCAACATACACAGGATAACACATTTCGGCTTATCGAGATACGTTTCTAAGCTTGATGGTGTTTCAAATGGCACTTGTGAACCGAACAAGTATCCGGATGTCCTATGCAACGTGAGCACCAGCAATGCTTGGATCATAAATTCCGTGTTTGTTTCTGCAGCAAGGCCGAGGTAGTCATTTCGCTGGAAGTGTGGACTATCCGTATGGATATCTTTAGTAGTCACTGCGGTGTGATCAGTTATACAGGAGCTTTGTACGCGCTAAACTCTGCAACTTTTCCGGATGCGGCTACTTGACACATTATCGATGCGACGTTTCACGAGGGTAACGCGCTAGCCATGCAGCTTGGAAACCGGCGAGTGGTACACGCTGTGAAAACAATCAAGCAAGGCGACCTCTCCTGTAGATGTGAATGGAGCGTCTATGCTACGATGACAAGACTGCAAGCTGAGCACAAGCGCCAAGGATCTGGCCGTCAGCGCTAATAACATGTGAGCGGCTGATAATTTCCGACTAGTTGTCTGGACTCATGATCGATAGTGCACGCTCGCGTAAGTGAAGACGTCAGGTCGATCGCAACGACATCCGTACAGATAGCAGTACAACAGACCGCTCGAAGCAATTGCATTACCGAGTCGAGCCTTGTGCGATGCCTTTACGCCATACAACAACAACAACAACAACACATTGTAACAATACCCACCTGTTGAACAAAGCTGGAGTGCCGTATTCCATCCAACTCTCCTCGATCAATGGCAATCATCCGAGCAGCACTTTCTACCAGAAAGCTAATCGTCTACAGACATCGGTCGACAGTCCGCCACTATCGTCGCTGAACGTACCCAATCACTCGGCTTTGTACCGCCTTTCTACCCCTGAGCATCTGGACATCACCAACAGCTCATCAGGCTTTGCAACTGATCGAAGGAAGGAACTTGAACCCATGCGACTTTGGAGCTTTTTCCTGGTCTTCCACGCTCTTTGTGGCAGTCAAGAGGCTTTGACGAACGCCCAGGAGCTGCGTCTGTACCCAGCTGGACGACGGTCAATGAAGGGACCTCCAAGAGCTTTCGACGATGACACGCGAGCGGCAGCTCTGGCCAATACTGTTCGAGTCATCACCAAGGCCAATGCCGAGCACGAAGCTGGCAGGAAGAGCTACTTTCTGGGCTACAATGACTTGAGTGAGTTGACGGACGAGCAGTATCGTGCTTTTCTGGGCTCTCGGCCGGATAAGGGGTTCACGAGGAGAGAGATGCAGCAGAAGAAGGTGGATGAGAAGCTGAGTCGGAAGATGAGGGACAAGAGAGGGAGGACAAGAGACAAGCGAGTGGAAGGCGACTTTGCGGAGCATCCAGTCAGTGATGGACGGAGTGACGATGGAAACGATCGTGACGCTGCTGCTGATGATGCTGATGATCGTATTGACGTGCCGATGGCAGTGGACTGGACGACTCAAGCTGGAGGGAAGTACATGACCCCGATCAAGAACCAAGGGACGTGTGGCAGCTGCTGGGCCTTTGCGGGCGTGTCCGTCGTGGAGTCAAGGTTTGCTATTGAGCACGATGTTCAGGCATCGATCTTGAGTGTCGAGCAAGTGCTGAGCTGCTCGGCCCCGCTGGATCATGTTCGGAGCAACTTCCAGGACAACATGACGAGCTCGTCGGAAGGATGTGTCGGTGGCATGCCGTTTCTCACGTACTCCTACTTGGATCTCGCGGTGCCGCACGGCATTTCGTGTGAAAGCACGTATCCGTACGTGATGGCGACGAATGAGACGGAGACAGAGTGTCGCTCGTTAACTGCTGCTGAGGTCGCGGTGGGTTGGGAGAAGGACGTGTCCAAGTACAAAGTGGTCGCAGCGAATGAGCAGGCGCTACTTCGAGCTGTAACACGTGGACCCGTTACAGCCAACATTGACGCGACTGGAAACGGGTTTCGTCATTACGCAGGCGGGATCTATGATGCTCAAGACTGTCGTAGCGATGGCGATGAAGTCAATCACGCGGTTGTAGTCGTGGGCTTTGGACAGACTGCCGCGGGGGAGCAGTTCTGGAAACTCCGGAATACGTGGGGGACGATGTGGGGGACCGACGGCTACATGCGCATCACCCGCGGTAGAAACGTCAGTGAATATGGACCATGCAACCTGTACCTTTACGCCGACTATCCTGTGAACCTCACGACTGGTTCCAATGCCACTACTGGTGAAGCTGTTTGTGCTGTGCCATCGCCGCGCTTCAAGCCACTTTCACTGCTGCAACGAATTGGTCTATCGAGCAACCAGATTGTTTTGCTGGTGCTGTCAACCGTCTTGTGTGTACTTGCCGGCGTGGCGCTGTATCATGGCACAGAGTTCGTGCAAAATCGAAAGCAGGCCGCTGGAAATGTGAGCTACAAGGACAGTTGTGCTCGCTGGGTCGTACCTTCCCGTGATCAGCTTGCTGCAGCACTTGCTCGACACAAGAAGAGGCGCCAGGTGCCGATGGCTAGACAATAGAGAAGACACAGGAGCATCCCATGTGTATGTCTTGCTTACATTAATATATAATCGCCATGATCGCAATGGCACACCCTACGTGCAAAAGGAGACGCGTTACAGTAACACGTCCGGATTCAAGTCGCCCGTAGCCCGAGAACCATATGGTGAGTACTGGAAAAGGTCTTCGTCCTCATCGTCATCGTTTGTCATAAGCGTCAGATCCGAGAGACTTTCCGCCAAGTCTCCATTTGACGGAATGTAGTCCTCCTGTATCACCGGACCATGAGACGTAGTAGCTGCCTCCTCTTCTTCTGCTGCTTCTTCTTCACGCAGGGCACTATCCACCGTATCTTGTGAGACTGGGCCCACTGGTGCCAATACAGGTCCGCCATTCTCTACCTGAATCGCCGCGAGCTTCGGAATGACCTCTTGCCACTCATCCTCCACTTTCTTGCTGTACTCAATCTGCATTTGAATGTAGTCCAGAATAATATGCTTAAAGTCCACGAGCTTCTCCCGTCGAAAGCGTTCCACCTCACGAAGAACTCGCTCCGTGACAATATCGTCTGCAAGTCTGGCATCTTCCATCGTCTGCTCTGCTAAGCACACTTCACTCTCCGCCAGCTGAAGCTTCTCCTCCACCGAGGCTCCTCGAGCGTGCTTGCGCAGCTTCGCCAACGCAGCTTCTTTCGCTTCAAGGTCAGCCACTGCAGTGCCATAAGCAACCCGCACTTCATGTCGTTTCTGCAGCGCCGCCTTCACTGCTCCCACCAGCCGAATGTAGTCAAAGATCGGCTCTTCAAAGTGCAGTGCCTCGCGTTCAGCATGTTCCGCTGCTAAGTTCGAGAGCCGATCAGAACACTGTCCGATGTGACTCAAGCCTTCCTGCAGCGACAGATTCTCTTCCGACTTGCCCAGCAGCGTCAACGACACGCCAAATTCAAACAGTCCATCCGCAATCTCCCGCGCTCGTTTCGTCAGTCCGTGCGCGTGTTTATGCAGCCCCGCCATGATGGGCTCCAAGCCTTCAACGTACGCCATCATGTTCTCCACTTCCACATCTGCTGGAGTCTTGGGCAGCGGAATCACCGACGGGATCCACGTCGACGAGAGCGTACTCACGGTCTCGTCCAGCCACTGGAATAGCGCGCCCCGCTGGGCGTTCGGCGCTGCATGCCGCGGATCTCTCCGGAACGTCTGGAGCTGCTCTTCACTTGCTTCGAGGAACGTCGTCAGGTGCTCGCTGTGCTGCAGCTCCGGGTGGAGACAGCAGCGCTGGAGGAACAACTGCAGAGCGCGCCGTCTGCCCTCAATGAACTCCGGAGAAAACCTCCCGACCAGCAGTTTTTCCGGAAGCGGGGGGACGACAATTCCGGGATACAGCGCGCTTAAATGTCCGTGGATCCAGATAAAATCACTGTACCGTCTGACAACGGTAAACGAGCTCTTGGCGAACTGGGGGCGACTGGTGCATGTACTGATTTTGTACGAAATGTAGGCGTTCAGGCCCTCGCCCTGTTTGATTGGCTCGTTCACCGTGACTTGGACACTTGATTGCACAGGCTCTTCGATACTTGATAACAAAGGCGAGAGCGACGACGTCATCGTGGCAGCTGCAGTCTCGTGGCTGCTGGATCCGAACGGGAAGTCGCGACTGGTTCCGATTGTACTGGACGAAGGAGGGGGAGGCAGCAGCGCCGTGGACTCTTCGAGGATGCGGTTCGAGGTGTAGTCCACGTTCACCCACTTGCCACTGCGTCCGTCCATGGGGAGGGACGGTTAGAGAGAAAGCGATAGAGAGGGATAGAGAGGGATAGAGAATGGGGCCGTCGCGACGACTTCTCGTAAAATGTGTGCTTTTGAGTCGGGGTTTTGGGGTGTTAGTGCTGGATTGTTGTTGTGGTATTGTTCGTATTGTTATTTTTTGTTGTCGGGTAGAAAATGTACGCGTTGTCGCTGAATTGTTGTTTGTGGGGATGAGGTACTGGATTTTGTGTGGTTTTTATGACGGAAAGAAGTGCAAGACTCGATCGAAGACGTTTTGGCACCGTTTTACCTCGTTTTTTTTTTACTTCTCGCGTTGTAGGGATGTTCAGTCTTTCAGATCGGATTTTGGGGTATAACGACCCGTGCAGCATCATCTGTCATATTTTTTAAGGAAAACGTCTCTTTTTTGCAGCTTTGGAACGGATACAGAAATGCGTACAAATTGGTAGCATTTTTGCTGGATAGCATCGCTCGAGAAAGAAAACCTCGTTCAATGTTGTATTTGCACCTACTAAACGCTCGATACATCTCAAATAGTCACTTTGAATTCGACATGGTGTTTATTCTGAGAGGAGAGACAGAATCATCATTCTTCTAAATATATTTCATCCAGCCTGCCGTCATTTTGTGATTTCTCTCCAAAACTACCTGCAACCCAACAACAGCTGGATGGGATCATTCCCACAGAAACGTTGCGCTGTTGTAACGCCAGCTCAGTCTCAAGACGTCGGACCTGTGGCCTTCTTTCTAGCGAATCGTCGGTGCGAAAAAAAGAATTTGCTGACAACTGATACCGTGTGCACTTCAACATTCGAATTGTGCCGACGATTTGAGCCTTTACCATCGATCGATTCGTACTTATCGTCCTCCGCACAATCCACCTAACAATACAAAACTTGGCCTAACTAAAAAAGCAAAAAAATATCCCGCTGATAGTCCGAATAACGAAGCGATCACCACGAATAAATAGTCCAGCAGCCTCTAAAACAATATCCATTGATCCACAAAGCCATATCTATCTGTCGTCCATCCCAAGCCGCTGCGAGTTCTTATTCCAGATCCCATGCCGTCGCACACCACTCGCCTGTCTGTCTACTCACCCCAATCCCAGCATGTATCCCATTATTCCCGTTGTCACGTGTTTCAAGTAAGTACCCACCGCACCCACTCACAAGCTCACTTTCCCACCAAAAACCGTCACCCGCACCCCAACCTCGTCATCTCGTACAAGTTTACAGCATCACAACATCCCACCAAACGACGCAATGATCGAAACCGCGCCCGACCTCCCACCCGGTCGGGATCCCTTCATGGCAGCCTCCTGTCCGTCCCCCACTACGGCACCAGCACCCGCACCAACCGCGTCAATAGCTTCGCTCTCGTCTTCCCTCACTAGCTGCAGCCTCACGAAATCCCCGCCCGCTCCCTCTTCTTCCTCCCGAGAGAATGCAAAGTCCCACAATCCCGAGGTCATGGCCAGTATCCGGGATGACTGGATCCAGCAGCAAGTGCTACTGCGACAAGTTGAGTATACTGAGTTCCAGTCAGTTCGGATTGTCACGGGAACGTGGAACGTGAATGCCAAGAAACCTTTGACGGTCGCGGAAGCCGCGAAGCTCGTGCAATGGCTAGAGCCACAGACGACGGAGCTCCAGGACGTGCTACCGGATGTTGTCGCACTAGGCTTGCAGGAAATTGTGGACCTGAATGCGGTCAACGTTGTTGTAAACAGCACAGTGACAGTGCAGCGGAGCGCTGCGTGGAAAGACGCGGTGCTCACGGCACTGAATCATCATGTTGGACGTGGAGAAGCGTCGAGAGCTCCTGGAGCTCGTCGCGAGCAGTACCGAGTCGTGCTGGAGAAGCATCTGGTGGGGATCTTGCTGCTCGTGTTTGTGCGAGCAGATCATTACGAGCACGTGCAGGACGTGAAAGGAGCGACTGCTGGAGTCGGGATCATGGGAGTCATGGGCAATAAAGGCGGAGCGGCTGTGCGGCTCAGGCTGTACAGTAGCACGCTGTGTTTTGTCTGTGCTCACTTGGCTGCGCACCGTGAAAACGTCGCTGGGAGGAATGCAGATTATCTCAGTATACTGAGCAAGGTGGATTTTGGCGAGAACGCACCAGATGAAGCAGCTGCGTCCGTGCAGGATATGAGGTGCGTTTGTCACGTGTGCTCGTACGCGCTGGATGTACTGCTTGATCCGACAGTGTTGTCGGGCACTCGTGTGGCAGGTTCTGGAGTGGCGCGCCGTCGATCTTGAATCATGATTTCGTGTTCTGGATTGGGGATCTGAACTACCGCATTCAGGAGGCGGTGACGACAGAGGAGGTCTTTCGTCTTGTTGAAAGTGGCCGATCGCTGCTCGAGCTGGTACAGCACGACCAACTTACGATTGAGCGGCAGCGAGGGAACGTGCTGAAAGGTTTCGAAGAAGGTAGTCTGACTTTTCCTCCGACTTACAAGTTCCAAGCTGGGACGTCTGAGTACGAGAAACGGCCTGAAAAAAAGTTGCGTGCGCCGGCCTGGTGTGATCGCATTCTGTGGCGAGCGAAGAATCCATCCGATGTAAAGCTCAGCAGCTACAATTCGGTTGCTGCACTTGAAATGTCAGACCACAAGCCTGTCCACGCATTTTTCGACGTGCAGGTGAAATACCAGGTAGAGTCGAAGAAAAATGACGTGATGCGTGACATCATGATGCAGCTGGATAAATGGGAAAACGACAACATGCCAAAGGTCCGGCTGCTCGAAGAAGATAGTGATACCACGAGCAGCGGGGTGATTTTCTTTTCGCAGCTAAAGTTTGGCGTGGAACAGAGCAAGAAAGTGATTATTGAGAACACGGGACTTGTAGTGACGCACTTCCGTTTCATTCCGAAACTAGAGGATGTGGCCGTTTGCAAGTCTTGGCTCAGCGTTACACCAATGTTTGGCATGATCCCGCCTAGGGACAAAATGGAGATCTGCATTACTGCTCTCGTGGATGAGGTCGTTGCCCACGGTCTTACAAGCGGCGTGGAAAGTTTAGATGACACTATGATCTTGCGTGTTGAGAACGGACGTGACTACTTCCTGGTGGTCTCTGGACAATACGCCAATTCCTGTTTCGGAAGCTCGATCGAACAGTTGTTGGCGAGTTCGGAACCTATCCGGGATGTCGAGCTCACGGCATCACACTCTCCTGCAGCTTCAGTGTTTAGCGTCTGGGTTGGTGGAGCAGCAGGTGTTGACGCTAATGCACTGATTCACCCCGAGATCATTGAAGGGCCGCCAGACTCTGCACCAACGAGTGATTCACAAAAGGTGCCCAAGGAACTTTGGCGAATGGTAAACGACATATATGAGAACTACATGCAGGAAAAGAACTTGTTCGTCGAAGCGGGTAATAAGGTGGAGATTGTGCAGCTGCGAGAAGCTTTGGACACGGGTACACCTTTTCCCACACATAGTGGATACTCCACAGCGGAATTGCTCGTGCGATGGCTCCAAGCGTTGCGGCAAAGTGTTGTGCCGGACGAAGCACTGACAGTTGCAGTAGCAAGCACGAACGGAATTGTCGGACAAGGGTGTCGAGCGTTGCTGGATACTTTGTCACCCGAGCGCTATAACATCGTGGTGTACCTCATCTCTTTCTTGCGCGAAGTGCTCAAGCACAGCACCACAAACAAGCTTACGCCTGAAAAGCTGGCGTTTGTATTCGGCCGTTGTCTCGTGTCACCGTGCAGACTCAGTGCTTTGAAGGACCTCGTACACTCAAACGCGGGCAGGGTGTTGGCATTAGACGAGTACCAACCAGCTTCAACTTCGTCAACGGCTTCAACAGTCTCAAGCGTGGGTTCCGGCCAACTCGTGCCTGAAGAACGTCTGCGAAGGAACGCACACGAGCTCGAAATCGCGCAAGCAAGTGCAGACCAGCGAGCTGAAAGAATGGAAACATTTCTTCTTCACCTCCTGTCATCGCCATGACGGAGAGATAGACGTACGCAAGTGCTACCAATGCCATGAATGAAAGTGCAGTAGGTTATCTGCAGACAACGGCAGCCGAAAGTGCTGTAAAAAAGCTCGAGCTGTATCATCGCTGTTACGTACTCAAAGCGTATGCAATATTAGAAATACCCGACCGCTGGCTTACTCACGCACTTGTCCACTCCGGTTTGCCCACTTAGATCGTGCATCTCGATCCTTCTCCTGCATCGTGCTTCTTACAGAACGCTGATGGTAAAAAGAGTGATTGCACCGCCGTCAAAGAGGGGAAGCAACTGGTTGCGAAGAAATATGACGCCCCAGGTAAACGTGGTGAACCACAGATGCGTGTACTGATTGATCTGGTATTTTCTGATCACGATCGGGTGCGGTACAGGCAAGAGACCCACCATCGTCGTAGTGCGCAGGAAATACAGCATCGCATCTTCATCCAGACTGCCACCGGCTTTCTGACAAGCATCTTCGAGTTGCGGGATCAGGTTCTGCAGCAGTCGGAGGCTCGTTGTCAGAGGCAGCTTCTTCTTCCAGGCAGCCAGCCACTCGACCGTCGGAACGAATTCGCCATTGGACGATTGTTCCTCCTCTTGTTTTCCTTCCTCGGTACTGTCGCCTTCTTTCTTAGCCGGATTCTTCCCTTCAGACGTGGCCGCTCGAATAGGCGGAAGCTGCAGATCATTGAGCTGGTAGAACACACCCTTGGTTTGAATCATTGCGTACACAACTTGTTGGTTGCCCTCGTACTGATACTGAATGATGTTGTCAAAGGTCTCGAGCAGGAAGAAAATCAAGTGATGATTGGCCTCGTTGTCGAATAGATATCGCGGCTGTGCAAAGAGCTTGAACAGACGCATCAGACGCACCGCCGACACCATGTTGAGCTTCTTGCAGTACGGTGAGATGTTGCAAATGATGGTGAGGAAACAGTTGTAAACCGAGTTGAGCTTCTCGTAGCCGCTCACGATAATCTTGTGCAAGCAAACGATCAAGAGATCAGCGTGGTTCCCGGAAAACGGCGGCAGGTCCAGCGGTAGGTGGTTGGTAAAGGGCTTGTTCAGGTTTACACCAAAATCCCGTTCGCCGCTCAGCAACAACAAAATAAAGGTACAGATGTGGATCATGCCAACCTTGGCCGGTTCCTGTCTGCCTTCATACATCAAGAAGAGCAACGGCACCACGAGCTGGTTCGCGTCTGCTTTTTTCAGCGCGTATTGCAAAAACTCTGCATTTTCGTCCAGCATCTTCCACAACAAAACGAGCAGCTCCTGGTGGCATTTGATCTGCTTGATCGAGTTTGGCAGCAACGTGCTCATGGACTGATGGTAGTTGTTCAAGAGCCGGGAGATGCCCAAGAAAATGAGCTTAAAATCTTCAGGTCGTTGCAGTGATGACAGCAACGCACGATACGCGTTCGGCACACCATCAAACAACGGATTCGACGGTCTCAACGTGACCGACGACGAGCGCCGCTTGATAACTGGCGTCAAACTCCCCAGCTGCGGCTTCAATGACATCGCGCCCGTCGTCATCTCCAACGTCTGTCCAAAATCCAGCAGTACTAGCAGCACTTGCAGCGACAAGTCCACGAGCACCTCGCGGTCATCTGACACGATCGAGCCCGCGTACGGCACGCCCCACCCCACTGGATCATACGCCACGACGATATTCAGCAGCGAGTAAAACAGCGTCGGGACAAACGGACACTCTGGGGCCGTTGCCACTTCCAGAAACCGGTCTTTCCACTGACTGCACGTCTCTGCTTTCTGGTACAAAATGCTCGAAAAGCACGTCAAAAGGAGCGCCAGCACTTCCTTCCGATTCTTATCGTACGTCGACGAGTTCACGACACTAGCATCCGGGTACCCCACCCCCGAGTGCCACAATAACGACGGGAACACCAGCACCCCACTCGTCGTGCTCTCTCCACTCCGTGTCGCACTCCGTCGCTCTTCTCCGTACCCCTTGTACGCATGGATCGAGACCGTAAACTCCGGCAAAAAGAGTAACCCCATGATCGCATGCAGCATCTGCTTCGCCAACGGCTCCCCAGCAGCTCCCGACACTTGCTCCTTCTCTTCCTCGGCTCCAGCTTCCTCTTCTTTCTCCTCCCCTGTCTCTCCGTCCTGTTCTTCCTCTTGTACGTGCCAAAAGAGCTCCTGGACAAAGTCGTCGCCTCCTTCTTCCAAAATAAACGGCACGAGCCGCGTCAGGACCCGCACGCAGTTGAGCGCCTGCTGGTAGTACTTGGGCACGGGCGTCTCCACGAGCTGCACGAGCTGTGCGACCGCCTGCGAGAGCATCGTGGCCAAGTTCGTGGGCTGCTGGTGGCGCAACATGCGCACGTCGTCGGGCTGGATGAGCGTGAAGATCTCCTCGGCGACGGTGGGGATGCGCCAGAGCTTGTCCCAGAACTCGAGGTTCTTCGAGCTGATGACCTCGTTGTTGAGCTTGTACACGCTCTCGCGGAACTTGCTCTTGCTGTCGCTATTGCCCATGACGACTGACTGACTGACTGGCAATGTACTTGGAAGAGCGGAGCGGGGGGTACGATCGAGGGTACGAGGTGGACGATCGAGGAGGAGGGGGTTGAAACTCGTGTTAGAAACTCGGCGCTACGTGGTGTTGGCTTCCCGAGTCGTGTAACCTGCTTTTTTCGACGTTAGTAATCGCGTTTTTGATTTCAGCGCTCGACGGTTTCGCAAAAAAAGCAGGATAGTACCGCACGATATTATTATTATCGAGTCACTAACCGTTACTTCAGCCGCCCCGCAGCGACGTCTCGAGTCGCTCTCGCTCTCTCTCTCGCTGTCACTTCTTCGCTGCTGCTATGGTCTTGATCCACGAGTTCCGCGTGCCGCTGCACATGACCGTGAGCGAGTTCCAAGTCGCGCAGCTCTTTATGGTCGTGAACGCGAGCGAGAAGCTCACGGGGGACGGGGAGGGCGTGGAGATCTTGGCGAACGAGCCGTACGACAACACGGACGGCCATTTGGGCGTCTCGAGCCTCTCGGGGTGGACCATTCCACGGAACCAGGGCCAGTACACGCGGAAGCACTACTACTGCCAGTCCAAGATCCCTGGCTTTGTCTCGGCTCTGTACGGCGGAGCTGCTAACGACGCTCGCTAGTGTCCTTTTGTTTCAACCATGTGTAGCTTACTGACCCATTTCTTGTGTGTTTTGTGTGTGTTTTGTGTGTGTTTTGGTGTGTATTTGGTGTCTTTTTGTGGTTTTGTGTGTTGTTTTTCGATGACTGTAGCTGTCCAGATGACTCGATGGTGCTGATTGAAGAAGCTTGGAACGCGTACCCTCACTGCGTGACGGTTATTGTCAATGGGTACTTGTCCAAGCACAAGTTTTACATCTCGATCGAGTCCATGCACAAGGCAGACCGTGGTGACTCGGAGAACGTGCTGGGCTTGACGAAAGCCGAGCTCAGTCACCGAAAAGTCGAGGTGTAAGTAGTTTTGAGTCGGTGGACCGTGGACGTTAGACAAGGGTGTCTTTGGAGGTCCATTTGATGAGTACTGACGTGTTTGCTTGTACTAAAGGCTGAACATAGCCGAGAAAATGCCCAAGCAGACGCTGAAGGAGGACTGTGATCCGGCTACGGTCAGTGGCTCGAGTGAGCGGGTCGGGTGGGTGTTTGGGGACTATGGTAACATGTTGTTTTCTGTTACATTTGGATTGTGCAGTACAAGTCCATCAAGACTTCACGTGGACCGCTGGCGCGGGGATGGACGAACGTTGTTGACCCGGTTATGACGTGCTATAAAGTCGTGCGCATCAATTTTGACTACTGGGGCGTGCAGGGCAAGGTACAGTCGGGACACTTTACTTGGACTACGTTTGGCGATGTTTGTTACTTGTTGTTCACATGGTGCAACTTCGGGTGTTTGTGACTTGTTGTTTCTAGGCGGAGAAACTCATTCGTGACCAGCAACGACAGCTATTTCACAACACGTTGCGCCAGGCGCAGTGCCTGACAGATGAGTGGTACGGTCTTTCGATGGAGGACATTCGACGTCTAGAGGCTGAGGTGGTGGCCAAGCTCGAGGCCAAGCGCTTGACGAACTCGACTAGCCGTTAAAAGAAGGCGAAGAGTGGAGAATCGCAACAACGTTGGTGTTTCTGTAGCGGCAGCTGTCAGCCGTAGCAGCTTTTGCCGTATGCGGTAGACCCGGTTTCCTACTCTGTTTGTATATCCACATATCTCGATCTCACACTCGTACTGTTGTCAACCTATCTAGCTCTTGTGCTACCAACGTGTACGAGCTTTGTGCTTATCGAAGTACATCGCAAGCCACGATGTGAATGTGTGGGTGCACAACATCATTGACGCGTTTAATGAGCGTAGTGATAGCATTAGGTTGCAAAATTGTCGCTAACGTCGTTCATTAATGACACATTATTGCGAGTTTGAAATGTGAACCTGTGAGTTATTGTGCTTAAGCTGATTGGCGGCCAATTCCTACAGTTGAGTGGTGCACCATTGACACTGGAATCTGGAGGTATCTGGATCTACCTGTGCCTGTGATTGGAGGGTTCGATTAAAAGACGCCGGGGATTGGCTAATATGTAGTCGAGCACCACCAATGGGTGCCTTGCTAACCTGCATGTCAGGGTGTGTTATAGTCAAGTGGGGTGGAGGCCCTACAAGCCAAAAAAACATAGTGTAATGAGGGGTGCGGGCGCCTAACGAGGAACAGCGTCACTGAACCCGAAGAGCATCTCCTGGTTGTCTGAGGAAGCCGCGCGGTATAGATCTCGTGCTAAATGCCAGCTTTGAAAGTCGTACTTAAATACGTGTGTGAGTATCGGTCTATAAAGATAGAGGAGCAAGCTCTGGAGCCCGCCCTTTGATATAAGTTATTCAGTTCGACTCAAGTTGCAAAACACTGTACAACGGCAGACACTGAAGAATGAGCATGATGCTGAAATTGTCGCTATTGACGTACTACAACAGGCTAGGGCAACGCGATCGGTCTTTGCTTATGAGCGTCTAGCATTTGCTTGTGTGACCATGTTCACCTATGATCGATCGGAAAGCCAAACACGGGCGTGCGCCAACGGTGACCTAGCCAAAGAATGACTTTATACATGCTTATATACCCGTGATGGGGGGCAGTGTAGAGAGATCCTACTCACCAATCGCGAGGTACATCTGGCCGCGCTATTTACAGACAGGCTGACGGACAGACGGACGGACGTACAGACATACCGATAAGTACGATTTACAAAGTCGTCATTCATCTTTCGCACAGTCACTAAAAGCCTTACTCTTCGGGCTCGAATGATAGATTCGTACAGACATTAGTCTCACTATGTTTAAACTTCAGTCACTGTTGCTGTCTAGTGTTTAGCAACCTGATTCATTTCTCCGAGCTGGCTAACATGCATCAGAGGGCGAGCTCCAGAACTTGCTTCACTATCTTATGTGGGTGATACAGTTTAATGGCGTATTTGGGAGGGAAAGTATATTTTTGCGGGCTCGAAGGTTGAAGCTAATAGTGACTGAGCGCAAGGTTTATGCCAACTTGTCAAATCGTACTTAAATGTCTACGTGTGTGTATGTGTATCTGTAAATAAAGCTAGGAGTACCCCTAATGTCGTATTTTCGTCGTTTACCTTCTGTGCATGTGAATAACGCCAGGTGCACCTCGCAAGTCGTATTAAGTGCGATGTAGTGTGTCCGTGAGCAACGCTAGATGTACCTTACACATTGTGATAAGTGTGATGTAGCATTGATTACCTCTTCTTGTTAGTAAGCATTGCTACAAGACCAACAAGTGAAGCTATGAGTGGCCGAGCGCAAGGCACGTGACTATACAGAATTTATTCATTTCTTCGAGCTTAATTACTTATAGCAAAGGGCAAGCTCTTAAGCTTGCTTCCGTTCCTTACATGAAAAACGATATATGTACAACACATCGCACAAAGTGCGATCTTGTCTGTCACCTTGGGAAACTTTAAATACGCAGGCGCATTGTACAAAACACCGAGGTCCTAATTTTGGCCATCAATTTATCCGATTTTTATATGCAAACAGGTGTTTCAAAGACGACATCCGACTTTACTTTCTGTTCTAATGTAGCAACACTGTATGTGTCCACAATCCTCAGTTGGTACGCATGCTCTGTTGCACAAAAGCTCTCTTTGCACGTGAGACGCTGGAATGTTCGTCTGTCGGCGTCGAAGATAAAGAGGTTTTTACTGTGACGCACAATTGACCACAAGGCGATATGTGTGCAAAAATTAGCTGCAACTTGATCCGATTACAGTCGACTTGCGTATCGCTACGTATTCGGGTTATATTTAAGCACACAAATCAGATGGATTTGTCGGCCATCATGCGGGTTAGAGCTTGGAATGTGGACATTCATGCCGTGAAGAAAGTGAAGACTCGTTTATCATCCATTGCACGCTGTTGTCTTATGTCTGTGTCCAATTCACGACTACAACTTCTCCGAGACACGCATGCTCTAGAAGGTGGGGATCCTTGTAGTCCGTGCACAATTATCGTTGGGTCGATAACTACACATGTGGTACTTTATACGTCGACGCAGGGTGGTCTGAGGCTACGACATTGTTAGTTCGGAGGGTTGAGCGACTGGCGGACGAGGTGTAAACAAGAAGTTGACGAGGTGGAGTTTTTTGTGGTCAATATAAGCGTGTCCCTTACACGACGTTGAATGTCAAGAATAGCATACTTGTGTGGAGCAGTGCTCTTGTGTGGTTATGCTTGCTTTAGAAAGTGCAGTAAATATTGAACGATGTAAATAAATTCGAGGAAGACACCTAGTCCCCGTAAAATTTTACACACCGCTTAAAAGCATCTATTAGTGTCCAAATTGTAGTATGCAATTAAACGTGGCTGACCCCAACATGTGTTTGTGCCTGCGGTGATGATAGGGATCACTTGAAGAACATCCATGTGAATCTCGGTAGATGTTAATGGAGATACTGCTTCCAGGCGCGGAAGCCAACCTGATAAAGAATGCTGAGGCTAGACTTAATCATACATTCAACGCCAAAAAGAAGAACAAAACCCTGCTTATGAAGCAGGTTATCTTGCGGAGTGTAACGGGATGAGCCTGTCACATTTGATTAATTTTTAATTAATGTTAATCTGAGAATCATCACACAATTTTATAATGGTCATAAATATAACTACGTAGGGTAGTTTTTAGAAGCAACCAACTATTAGATGAAACTATTCATCATATCAGCCAACTCTAGCGGTCCCATTGATTAGGTACACGCTCACTTAGTGGTGATCAATGCTTCAATATTAAATGGTGTAGAAAAAAATACTAAAGCTAGGATGAAACACAGGATACTGATTGTAACTTAGTTGTATGAATATACAGTCCCATTTTCTACCTCTATCGTACAATTGTTTGATAGCTAGTTTCTCATGCATGTACCGTGAAAGTAAAGTGACGCGCGGCACTAATTACAATGTGTCAGCCTAGGTTGACTTGTGCTGTGTCTGGACAAGTTAAAAGTGCCCCATTACGCGAGGGCCTAAGTGCGTCAGGTGTCCTTCATTTCATAATATGACGTGAAGTCCAACTTGGGCTTGATAAGTAGCTTTGGTCGACGCTAGATAAAGGGAAGACTTAGCTTTTTGAGTTGCACCACCTGAGGGGAAGGCTGGAAAGCGTGTCAGAATAAGAAGGTAAAACAATAAAGAAGATAAGAGCAAAAATGATAAATAATCAATAAGAACTATCGAAGACTGTCCTTGTAACATTCGTAAAAGTTTTTGGAAATGGACAGCCAAAATAGAACCAAATTGTTTTGAACACTGCGCCTAGATGTATTGATAGTTTCTCTGCCACTTGTTGCGTCTATGAGTAACACTTGATACACCTTACACGTCGTATTAAGTGCGATGTAGCTTGCCACATACTCTTTTGCATGTGTCTGCGAATGACGCAAGGTTGGCCGCTAAAGTCGTACTGTCCGATGTACCGTTGCTAACATCATCATTGGTCAGTGATTATTGTCGCGAGCCCTTGGGTGAAGCCGTAATAGACCAAGCGCAATGTACGTGGGTAGACAGAACTTGATTCAGTTTTATACATTGAATCAATTGTAAAAAAGAGTGAGCTACAGAGCGCGCTTTCCTATCTTACTGAGTCTACAAAAACACTACCTTCAAGACAGGTCTGCCGAATGAAGTAGGAAAAAAGCATATCGCATACCAGTACCACATTTATGCAAATTCCCAAAACTACTACCACACTCAACACAACTATAGATTAGATAAGTAAATAGAGTTAACCACGATATACCCGCCTGCAAGATGGGTAAGAAAGCACGTGAGTGCTCTTTCCATCGAATAGAAAACTAGTCCACGAATGGGCGCGCACGTCGAAGTCGGACGGTACGCGTTAAATCTGAGCTACGCCATTCAGGAAGCACGGAGTGGTCTTTTACGCACACTCTCGTCATAGTCGGTACGCGTGAATGGTGCTTCAAACGGTCCCTAATATTTCCATACGTCAAGCAATTGATCGACAGGCATTTCAGCCCCACAAACGCTTGCTTACCCTTCCATTTTATCCCTTGCTGGAGCGAATGATTTCAACTATTAGCACAGATACATGGCTACATTAGGAGCCGATAATCTTCTTTCTTAGGTCCTAGATCATGAAAATGAGCTCTTAAAAATCCAAGTTTAGACGAAGTATCGTGTAAATGCCAAATAGCTCAATTTCTTTCCCGCGGGGCGTACAACGGCAATAGATACCGTGTACTACAAGGCGTGTCACGGATTGCCTGAGACTTCTCTCCACGCTTGTCTTAAGAGTGCTAGAGGAGAGTGCAAGCTAGGTAAATTCTTCGGACAAAAAATTGGCGCTTTCGTTACATCTCCTGACTTTCCTCAGTGCTTTGCAATTACGCCAAACGTCAGGCTCCACAAATTTTGGAGCTTCAGTGCCTCGACTGCTAGAGAGATTTTAAGATGAATTCAAGGCTGGAAAATAGGTGTGACAACAAATACGATTCTTTATCAGCTCTATTTGCATAAGACACTTACGGTGCAAGAAAAACGATGCAGTATTTTGGATCGCACACTAC